GCCTTGGAAACTTACAGGGGGTCACTATGAGACAGCATTGACTCGATGGCAGTAAGTTTGAGTGGCTCCCCGTGGTAATCTCCCTCCTTTAAGAGTATAGCCTAGGAAACATCTGGGGCAAAAGGGTCACTGGGGGTCCATAATAACAACCAATAGCATCATACTTTCCTTAAGGATAAATACTATTTCCTTTCCATTTTATATCCTTGTAGCCTGATATAATCCCCAGCATGTGGAAATTATTAAACTTCTAAAACATCTGTTAAGGTTTTCTAAATGAATGAGTGTGGCAGAGATTTCTGCACAGAAACTGGGAGTACAGCAGAGAGAACATTACAAACAGAGGGAATGCCCACGTGGGTCGGTAAGCACAGGACAGCCTGTGGGTCACAGCAGGGGCTCAGAAGCCTTGCAAATAAGGGAACTGGGCAACTAGTGAATTGATAAGTACATATTAGGCTTTAATTTTTTTTTTTTGCTTTAAAGCCTTTCTAACGCAGAGCAGTTCTATAGTCTAATGAAGGAGAGCTTTAGGTTTGAGTCCCAATCAGCTGCTTCCTAAATGACTTTGCTTTTAAGTCACTTCCACTCTTTTGCTTTTGTTTCCTCACCATTTATAAAGTGAGGAATATGTATTAAATAATGAAAATTACTTAAGTTATTATCTACTTACCATTTAAGTAACACTTGCTAGATGGAAAACTTGCTATATACACGTGTTACCTTACACGAGGGTAAGTCAAAAAGTATGGCTACGAGGGTCCCCGTGTACACATGCGTGAGTTTATTACAAACCAAACATGTCTCAACATGCCTCTGCGATGGCTGCAAACAAGTTCTCTCAGTAATACACTTGTCTTAATCTCATGACGGTGCCTTCAAAAACAGTTCTCATTAAAAAGTGACTTTTGAGGGGATCTGCAGGGCCAGTAAACTTCAAGGCAGAGAAGCCAGCTCAGAAGATGATGGTGAAACCCTCCACACAGATGCACCTACTGGGTAATAAAAATCAATAAAAATTAGATCTAGGGCTCAAGTAGAAAGCATATGTTTTGAGGAGGATGATGGCAACAAATGTACAAATGTGCTCGACACAATGGATGTATGTATGGATTGTGATAAGAATTGTACGAGCCCCCAATAAAATGATTTTTTAAATTAAATCTAAAAAAGAGAGAGGGAGAGAGGTTATGTTTTTGGGGGGAGTCCGAAGGATAATCTTGGTGGATTTTCTTGAAGGACTCTGGATGATCTTCAGTACTTAGGACGTTTTAAGAAAATGGAAACCACGTTGATGAGAAAAAGGCCAGGACATTTGCTCTGAGGAAATCACAACAGCACATCTGGATATTCCTTGACGGTGCCAACAGCGGTCCTTTAAGAATCTCATTGGGAAACTGAACCTGTTCACCCCACAGCCCTGATCTTGTCAAAGCTTCCATTTTTAAGTGGAAATCAAAAACTGTAGACTTCTTTGGGGAAGACTTAGAGAGAGAGAGGCACTGCCTTTGGGAGTGTGTAGACCGTGATAAGGCTATGTCAAGAAACAATAGTTTCACATTTTGATATTTTGATTAATAAAGTCTGTGATTTTGTAGCAGTAGCTTTTTACTTACCCTCCTATTATCTTCATAAGATCCAATGAAGTAGGTTTTTAACTATTTCCATTTAAAGATGAAGAAACTGAAGCCTAGGGAGATAAATTCACATAGATCATGCAACTAGTAAAACTGGTAGAGATAGGATTCAGACCTGGTGGTGAATCGGGTTATGTGCTAAACTGCTAATCATAAGGGGGTTTGCAATTCAAGCCCACTGGTTGCTCCTTGGGAGAAAGAGCTGTAGAGTTGGAAACTATATACATGGTCTCTAGGAAGCGTCAAAAGTGACTGGCCTTCAGTGGGGTTTTTAGGGTTCCGAGCAGGTGGTTTCGTTCCACAGCCCTCACTCTTCATTGCTCTGCTTTACTAACAAGCGACTCAGGAAGCTCAGCCGCTAAGCACACAGTGGCCGGTCAAAGATGAAGCAGTCTGTGTCTGTAGATAATGTCTCGGAAACTCTGTAAGGTAGGTCTGTTCTGTCTTATAGGGTCGCCGTGAGTCAGCATTGACTGGATGTAACCAGGTTTTCTTTATTTCTTTATTTTTAATTCTAATAGGTTCTAAGGGCCTTTCCAGCTCTTAAAGACTGTGGCTGTATGGTCCAGGGTCCCTCTGGGTTTTGACCTTTTTAGAAATAGAATGATTTCTGCTTATATGGTGCTTCTAGGATATGGTAAAAGAAACAAAAAAATCATAGATTAATTTTGTTTGAAAACACATTATAACAGTATCTTAGTCACGGTTATTATGATAGTTTTGCCCTGATATTTGACAAATAAGGGCTTTCCAAACCGACCATGGGTTTCCAAAACCAGCAACTCACTCTCTTAGAGTACTGATGTACTCTATTGTGGTTCCTATATTTGATTGGTTTATCTGTTCATAAATCATTAATGTTGCCTTGTTAGGTCCCATTGAGTCCGTCTGGCTCATAGCAACCTCATGTACAACAGAACCTAACACTGCCCATTCAGGTGCTGTCCTCACAGTCCTTGTTACGTGTGAGCGCATTGTTACAGCCACTGTGTAAATCATTAATGAGACCCATTAACATCAAACACCGTGGGCACTGAATAGCGCCTTGGGCATACCAGACAGCAAGTTACCTTTTTTTTTTAAACCTAAAGGACTCACAGGGTGTTGGGAAAGTAAGCATGCAAAAAAGTGAATAACAATATAATAAAGCAAGTAAAATTTCCCCAAGGAGCTCTGGTGGCCTAGTGACTATTCATTGGGCTACAGACCATAAGGTGAGCAGTTCCAAACCACCAGCCACTCGCTGTATGGGAAAAAGATGGGACTTTCTACCCTTGTAAAGAGCTTCAGCCTCAGAAGCTCACAGGAGCAGTTCTGCCCTGTCTCTAGGATCACTGCGAGTCAGAGTTGACTTGATGGCAGTGAGTTGGTTTTTAGAGTTTAATTCCCGAATGTTCTGGGAAGCCCAAAAGAAACGATGCAGGTGAGTCCCGGTTTTGCAAGCAGAGGGGCTGGTGGGAGGCATTTCGGGCAGAAAGGATTGTGGTGTTAAAGACCCAAAGTGTGAAAGAGAATAGGCTGTTCCAAGAAAAGAGAAAAGTCTGTAATAGCAAAACGCCTAGATGGCAAGAGCGAGATGACGCTCTCAGGCTAGCCTGAGAAAGACCCTGAATGCTAATTTGGATTTTGCCTTTTGGGGGCTGTGGGGAAGAGCCCTAAGAAGTTATAAACCAATTTTAAAACCGTTAAGTAATCCAGATGAGAACTAGGAAGGGTCTGTTCTAAAGTACCTCTGGAGAAAGAGAAGTCTGATTACAGCCTTAGAAACCCCATGGGACAGTTCTACTCTGTCCTGCCGGGCGGCTGTGCGACAAACTACTCGACAGCAGTGAGTATGATTTGGGGGCTTTTGAAGCCACAGCACCAGACATAAGGATGAGGCCATAGATGAGAGATGTTCGAAACACTTTCGTTGACCAGCAGGCTCTGGTGGTAAAGTGGGCTAAGCATGTGTCTGCTAACCTAAAGGTTGATGGTTCAAACACAATAGCCACAGCACCGGAGAAAGAGAAGGCTAACTGCTTCTGGAAAGATGGACAGCCTTGAAAACCCACTGCAGCGGTTCCACTCTGTCCTATTGGGCAGCTGTGAGTCAGAATCGACTTGGGTTTCTGTTGATCAGTTGGCTATGGGTGGTGGAAGGATGGCATTGGGATTTCTTCCTTCGTGGCCAGGTAGCTAAATGGGGATACCAGTTACTATATTTATATTTGATAAATATTTTATCAATGAAATTACTAGTATTATACCAAGAAAAACATTTCTAGAAGGAATATAAAAGCCCAGGATTCTAGTTCTCACTCTGTCATTAACTTGCTAAATGATCTTCTACAAATTATTTAGCCTCTGAGCCTAAATCCCTTTATCTTTAAGAGCAGGTCTCAAGCGAGGTCAGGGGACTCCTTGGGATCCTTGAGACTTTTTCTGGGACCCACAGCATCAACATTATTTTCATGATAATAATTACAAGATGCCGCTATTTGTCTTTTTCATTCTCCTGCTCTCATGACTGTATCGTAGAGCTTCCCACAGACTGCAGGCTGCTGAGTACTGCTTCAGACTGAATGCAGCTACAACTAAGAGAATCTAGTTTAATTTTCTACTAATTCAGACATTAAAGTGATTTTCAAAAATCCAAAACAGCGCCAGACTTCTCGCTCAATTTTTGGTTTGGAAAATAGTTACTTTTCATTAGAGTATGTTATCATATAAAGGGTTGGTTACTGTAAAATAACAACTTGTACATGTTTTAAATTTCCTCAATATCAATTTATGATGCATTTAATATTGACCTCTGTTACCCACATAAACAATAGCTCTTTGGAGTCCTCAGTAATTTTTTCAGCTGTAAAGTGGCCCTGAGATAAAAAAGCATGAAAACTGCTGATCTATAAAATAGGGACGATTATAGTCCTTTGTACTTTGGCTTGGTTGTTATAGGGTCAGACAAAACTCTGTACAAGAACTTTTTAAAAAGATTGAAGTGCTATGAAATGCAACCTTCATCATTATTCCTATGATTAATTGGTGACTTTTCTTTTAAGATGGAGCAGATTAAGCGTGCAAATCGCCTTTATACTAATGACTCCATCTTCCTGAAGAAAACCCTCTACATCCCCATCCTGACAGAGCCCAGAGACCTGTTCAATGGTTTGGATTCTGATGATGAAGAAGAGGAACAAGAGGGGCAGCCGAGTAAGGCTGAAGCTGGGCCACATTCAACAGAGAGGGAACAGCAAGAGACACGTTTGAAGCGTGCCAATGGTGAAGTCCTCCCCACATCTGTCCAGCAGCCCCCCAAGCCCACCGACGACCTCTCGGTCTCTGATTTCCTTAAGAAGCTTGATTCACAGATCAGCCTGTCAAAGAAGGCTGCTGCCCAGAAGCTGAGAAAAGGGGAAAGCAGGTAAGTCTTGAATGATCCCATAGAGGCCCCTTTAGGAACTCCTCCATTCCCCCAGCCTTGCCCGGACCACACACACGTCAACGCAGGGCCAGCAGAAGCAAGGCGTCCTTCTTTCTCAGAGCCAGTGGCTGCTGCCAAGGGTAAAGACAAGGAAACAGAGTCCTGGGTTCTCATCGGAGTGGGACTTCTTGCTCTCACGATCCATGAGGGAGAATTAGAGTTAGGGTTTATCCAGGGGGCATTGCTAGGCCACCGTCTTATTTCATGAGTTAGGGGAGCTGATTGATTAGCTTCCAGTGTACCTCTCCATTTGGGACATCCTCCAATTCTTGCTGACCTGCTACTCTCTTCCCTGCTTCTGCTCACCTGCAGGGTGCCTGGAGAGGATGCAGGTCCCCACCTGAGCTCCCCTCGGATGCAGCAACGAGCGGTCCTAGGTCCTGTGCCTCTGACCCGGACCTCACGGACCCGGACACTACGGGACCAGGAGGATGAAATCTTTAAACTTTGATGTCCCACAACTGACTGAAAGAAGCAAGATGTTGAAGGAACAACTTGAGGGGGTGAGGAGCCTGAGGTGAGGCTCAAGAACATGGCTTCCTAGCCACCTCCCTCTACTCCTGCCATCTCCCTCGGCCCCCTTGTCCATCCAAGGGCTCCTGGGGAAGTTTTACTACACAAGTCGGGGTTGGAAAATCGGCCCCTTCTCAGTCTTTCAGCTGAATCTAGAGTTGTCCTTTAGATTCAAAAGGCTCTTTTTACATCCCTGCTGGCTTTCCCACCCCTTGGCCTTAGAACAGGGAATCGCCTAACCCCCACCTTCCTCCTGATCCCCACCTATGTATGTAATTTATTTGGTGCTATATTGAAGTCATATTTATTTGCTGAATTCCCTCCCTCTTGTAGCTGAAGAAATGGGGTTTCTGAAGTAGTCCCAGGACGGAAGGGATCCGGGCACAGTGAGCCAGTGACTACTGGTTCCCACCTCCTGAGTCAAGCATGCTGTGGAGGGCAGGGCACTCAGTGACCCAGTCCCCCTGCAGAGATGGGGGATCTGTGCCGGGTCCCTCCCCGCAGCAGTCTGAAAGTTAAGAATTAACTAGATCCCTATAACTTCCCAACTTTTGTTCTGAGAAAAGCAAGCAGCGTGTAGGGTCCTGAACCTTCTCCCCCACCAGTCCCCCCTCTGACTTACTCCTTTGCTCGGCCTGTGGCGGGGCACGGGCTGGAAGAAGCATGCTGTCTGTGTCGGAGTTTGGAGAGGATGCTAGCCCCTCTGTGGTGGCTTTCTCTTTGTTGCAGCCCACCTCCCCCAGAGCCTGCTCCTCACTGCTTATTTATTTGCAATGTGTAGCACTGACCTGTGGTACTGCTTGTTTTGTTTTGTGTGTGCTGCTTTGCCTTTCTTAAAAAGAAGAAGTAGGTAAGACAACTTCATTGATTCAGAAAATAAGCCTGTCTCCTGTATGGAAATGGTGAGAGGTGAGATAAACACTGTTTCTTTCCTGCCTCTCCTCTGTAATGATCATAAGGTGTGAGAAGCTGGAGAGATTAAACATTGAGCCCTGGCATGTTTTAGTAGTTTTATTTCCCCTGTGAGACTCTTCCCTGCCCTATCACTTCTTCCTGCACTCGGGAACAGAACCTCCGGATCTGGCCAGCCTCTGCCCAGAGCTAGAGGTTCCAGAGTGTCTCGAAGTGCTCTTTGCCTCCCTCTGTCTTTAGTGTCCCCAGAAGGCTTAGATGAATGGTACCCCTTCCCTTAGTTCATAGAGGAGGGGGATTTCCTTTGCAAAAGTCCCGGATGGAGGAATTAGCCATCCAAGTTTCACTTCATCTTTTTCAGGCAGCTTTGTTTCCTGTCTTGGGGCAGTGGGAGAGGAGCTTCAACCCTCAGCATTTCTCCTTCGCCATCAGCAGTTTGGGTATAGGGTGGTCTCAGGACCAAAAGCACTCTTGGGAAGGACAGAAGCCTGAAGAGTGTGAAGTATTAGTGGCCAATGAACGGGGTTAGAAAGCCCATTGTCTGCGGTGTGTCCAACGTGGCATCCATCCGCAGGGGTCAGGACTCAGAGCTTGCCCTCATCCAGCAGCTTCCTGAGCCCATCACAGATCTTGCCCAGGTGCTGAGTGAAGGCAGGCCCGTAGAGGGCCGTGAGCAGACTCTGGTCAGAGAAGTGGTCAAACACGTGGCGGATGCGGCCGTGTGACTTGGGCGTGAGGTGGTGTTCCACCAGCTCCAGCAGCAAGTCCCGGCACTCGGTCAGCAGATCGGCCAGCACGGCTGCCTCAAAGGTGAAGTCCACCTCGCCAAAGCTAAGTGCTGTCATGGCGCCCTGCCGCAGCTTCTGGCGAAAGCGGGTAGCCAGGGCCAGCTCACTGGGGTCAAAGCAGCCACTGCGGTGCAGCACGGCCACCTTGACGGCCACCTTGATCAGGTCCTTGATCACCCGCTGGGCCTGGGGCCGGCTGTGCGTGTACTCTTTGGACACGCGGTAGAGCTCATCCAGCACCTCACTGCTCGTCTCGTCGATGAAGAGATGGGCCACAGAGCGGCCTGCCATCTTACTGAGTAGCTTCTTCTCTGCTTGCAGAGCCAGGCTCTTTGAGCTGAAGGTCTCCATGGTTCTTGGGGAGCAGGTATGTGGTCAGTCACAGGCCACAGGCTTCCTTAGAAGGAGAGAAATGTTTTTCCCCTGTCTCTTTCTGGTTTCTTTCCCATCACCTTTCCCATCTTCACCCCGCACCCCCACTTCACGCCCCCTCATTTCTCTTTGACTCACTCCTCCTTTTTTCTGTGAAGGCTGTAGGAACCCTCAGTCAGTAGAACAACAGGAACAGTAATATCTTTGACTGAGGAATGAGGCCAGCCCACCGCAAGCTAAGGCTTAAGGGGAAGTAGGCTGTCGCCACTCTGTTAGAGAAGAGGGGCCGTTTCTCACATATGAGTCCCACAGCTGCCATGTTGGGCCACTGTGTACCAGTAGGGTACCAAGTCAGTGTCGGCATTCCTGCGCCTGTCTTACCACTGAGCAAACGGAGGCTTGTGTTCAGCAACCGTACCCTAAGCTAGACCAGAGCGAACTGCCTTTCTGACTCCACAGAGCCTTCTGTGTCACCAAGTGCTCTGTTGAGCCTTCAAAGAAATGAGAAGTGTAGGGGGTCCCAGTCTTTCTGGTAAAAACTAATATTAACCAATACTTACTGAGAGCCTCCAGGTTTTGGGATGGCACAAGCAGTTTGCACTAGGCTACTAACCACAAGGTTGAGCGTTCAAGCCCACTCAGCAGCACCGCAGAAGAAAGGCCTGATGATACACTTCCGTAGCGCCACTACCAAGAACCTCCTGGAGCAATTCGACTCTCTTAACACCTGAGGTTGCCCTGAAGTAGAAATGACCTGACAGCCCCGGTGTGGGGTTTTTGTACACTGTGCTGAATGCTTTACGAATGATCGCAGCCCTCCTGACTGTCAGTAAGGTAGCTGTCCTCAATGAGAAAACGGAAGCTACAAAAAAAGGAGCAAGTTAGCTAAAATCACTAGTTAATGATGAACCTGAGCTTCCAGCAAAGGGATCCAAGGAAGCCTCCTTCCCTGGAAGGCTCTCAGTGAGGTTGACGTACCTTGAGGAGGCCTGAGAAATAAGTACCCTGGGGGGTGGGGGAACAGGCCAGACCAGAGGCCTAAGGTCTTCTGCTGGGGTTGAACTTGGGACCTTCCTGGTGGCACACTTGCTATGTGCAGCCAGGGTTCTCTCCCCCAAGGGCTTCACCTGAGGTTCTGGTTGTTTTGCTTCTTACTTCCCCCTCCCCTTCTCTGCAGGATGTGGCTGCAACCGCAGCCAGCGAGGAGGAGCAGCCTCGCCCTCTCCCCAAACCCACAGGGGAGTCTGAGAGGTGGAGGATCTGGGTGACTGGGGTGGGGGGTTCCTCCCCAGCTGAATCAGTCCAGGAAGAACCTGGAAGCTTGCTTGGCACCCAGCTTGGCTTGGACCTTTCTGGGTTATGCTCCCCAACCGGAAGAGAAGATTGCTCCATGTGAGCCTGCCTTCCTCCTTGCCCTTCCTGTCACCCGCTCCTTTCTGCCCCCACTGCCATCTCACGCTTGGTCTGCTGACCTCTCCCTCTCTCCCCTCCCTTTGGATCATGCGGGGGTCTGCCCTGTGCTCCTTTGGCCATGCTTTCCCTCGGACCCTTACCCATTTACGTCCATGTCTCCTTGGGATTTCCTTGCAACCTTAAGTTCCTTGTCTCACACCCATACCACCCCACCCCACCCCCCACCCTTGACCCCCCAGCTTTCCTTGGCCATTTCCACGCCATCTGAAACCTTGCCCTTCTTTCTGTGGCTGCATGGTCCCAGGGAACACTGTGTGGGACATCGCCACTGCAGACCCAAGACTTCTCTCCAAGGGAGAGTCTCACAATATGGAAAGCTAAGGCTGGAGGAGCTTGGGAATCTCCAGCCACCAACACCCTGAAGGCCTACCCTTCTGCCGTCATCAGCCCTTCACTTACCTTGTGCCAGGTGCCAGTCTTGCCTTGGGTGTCCCCCGGAGAGCTGACAGAATGGAGAAGCTCCTAAGTGAGAGGCCCTTTGGTCTGGCCCCACCCCTCAAGACCCGCCTCCTTACTCTCTGTTCCTCCTGCCGTTGGTTGATCACCACTCTCCCCAAGAAGGCCTATAGCCGGAGCCTGCTGGAAATAAGGCTAAGAAACAGCACTCTGGGAAACGGGCAGGATCCCTGACATCTCATCGACCCTGCTCTCCAGTGGTTCGGTTTGTGTGCTTTCCTTCCTGCCTGTGATGCTGGGGAAGAAAGTCCGCATGGCTGGGGCGAGAGTCCGGGCAAAGTTCGGGAGGCTGATGTGGACCGAGGCTGGAGATCCCAGGGCCCAGGCAGGAACCAGGAGGTGGAGGGTGTTGCGGGCAAAGGCGCTGAGGGGCAACATTCCCGCAGGCACGTGCTTCCCCGGCTTCGCTGGGTCGGAGTGGCACGACTGTCCGGAGGGACTGTGTGCGGGACCCCGGACGGCCGCGGCGCGCGTGCCCGGCAGGGGGCAGCACAGCCCGCGACTAGAGCAAGTGCGGACCGGCCGCGCACGAGGAGGGCGCTCGCTGTCTTGTTTCTGGTGCTCCATTGGGTTGGTTCCGACTCGCTGGGGCCCTGTGTGCCGCAGAACAAACCACTGCGTAGCCCTCTTCATCGCTGCTATGGTTGAGCCCGCTGCTGTAGCCCGTGGCAAACCATCTCGAGCTCTTTTTCGCGGATGCCCTACCAAGCATCGTGATGGTCCTACAGGGACTGGTCCCTCCGGTTTCTGAATGAGGCAAAACAATATTTTCCATTAAGAATCTTACAGCTTAGCCCTTCAGGGATGCTGCATGCAAAACAGTTCAGCACCTGACCTACCGTCATAGGCTGCCCTACAATACAGCCGCTAACAGAACCAGGCTGTCCCAAACCCTCAGTAATAGAATGATATATATACCCTTATACCAAGAAGCTTAAGCAAGCCCCAACATCTGCATGTGGTGTGTGCCCAGGCCAACTCAAGGGTACGGCTGTGTGCTGTGAGACTACGATTCTCATGAAGTGGTCCAAATCAAAACACAGAAAGCTACCAGCAGGCCCCTTGGGGGTTCCATGTGTGCTAACTGTGTCCGCGGCAGGACCAAACTCGCATTCCTTTCTGACCAAACTACGTTCCTTATTGAGGAGCAGAAAATCTTTGGGAAAGTGTTGAAGGCATAAGCACAGAGCCTGAAAGCTAAGTGATTAAAACCAAATGATGCTGTTTTGAATCATAAGCAAAATTAAAAGAACCATACAACCCAGTCAGGGAGATACGTTTCAAGTATAGGGAACAATAATACAAGGCACACAATTATCTGCGGTCATTGCTGGGGCTGGCAAGTCACTTTGACTTAAATAATTAGGAGAATAAAGGATTCATTACGGAAGGACTCCAAGCAGCCTTTCTGGAGAGGCAGGCTTGCAAGGATGGAGTCAGCTATTTAATGGGCAGACGTGGGAAAAGTGCTTCCCAGATGATGGGAAAGACATAAGCAAATATCAGGAATAGAATACAGGTCATGTTCAGGAAACGGTGATTTATTCGGTATAGATTGGATGAGAGATAAGTGACGAAGAAAAAGTCCAGATCATGGATGCTGTAAAGGAGTTGGTTGCTCAAGGGCTCATACTTTTCCTGCAGGGAGAGAGAAAACAGGAAAGCCTTTTGAGCAAGGGAGTGAAGTCATTAGGTCAGTGTCTGGAATGGGTTAAGTGCTTCAACCCTTTTTTTTAAACTGTGGAAGGGAGGTACTTGAAAGAAAGAAGAGTTCAATGGTATCGCCTGCTTAAACGCAGGATGAGAACTGACTGACAGGAAACCTTGGGATCTGTGATTATAGAAATTCTAGGGCAATGAATGGACAAATGCGCTTTACACAATTGATGTGTGTATGGATTATGATAAGAGTTGAATGAGCCCCTAATAAAATGATTTTAAAAAAAAAAGAAATTCTAGAAGAATGGGAAGGCTTGGAAAATGGACTGGTTGTAAAAAGTTGAAGAGTAAATTGAAGTTCAGAAGTGGAACCAGTGAGCATACCAAAAACCAAACTCGCTGCCACTGAGTTGATGCTAACTCACAGGGACCTTATGAGACAGGGTAGAGCTGCTCTTGTGAGATTCCAAGACTGTAACTCTTATGGGAGTAGAAAGACCCATCTTTCTCCCACAGAGTGGCTGGTGGTTCTGTGGTTGGCACCCCACGGGGAACGACACTGCACTACCAGGTTTCCATAGTGGTTGGGTGATAGTTCCTTTAGTACTCGTTTTCATTACTTGTAGGGTCCCAAGCTGAGGGCCCATCGTGCAACTTGGGTTGGGAAGTGTTAATAACGCTTGCAATAAGTGTAGTGAGAAAGGGGTCAAGAGAAATGGGAAGACTGGTTCCGGATTTGAGCGCTTTGTAGGCAAGAGGAAGGAGGTTGAGAAGATGCAGAAGAAGGGACTGTTTACAGAATTGACTGTAGGGGCAGATGGAAAAGAATGAGGCTAAGAGTTCGGATAGGGAAGGGAGTAGAGAGTCAGGAAAGCAGTGCTTGTTGAATGTACTTAGAACTGTTGTAGATGTGTAAGTATCTCATTTAATCCTCACAGTACCCTTGTGAGTGAAATATCATTACCGTATATACTCATGTATAAGTGGAGTTTTTCAGCACATTTTTATGCAGTTTTTGTGATTAAAATTAGATACCTCGGCTGGTATTCAGGTCAGCTTATACTCGAGTGTATACGGTATATTCTTTTTGCTGATGAGCAAATGATCTTTAAAGAGGTTAAATAGGCCGTTCCCAAGTCACAGAGCTAGAAAATGGCAGTCAGAACCTTGTGTGATTGTGTGGGAGCCCCTGCTTTTTTGACAATTCCCATACACGTTTATGAGATAATAATGTTAACCTCATCCTATTTGTGGCAGCATTTTACCTGCGTAGCCACTGCCATCAAATAGCTTTGACTCATAGCGACCCTATAGACAGTTTCTGAAGCTGTGAATCTGAGGAGAGCAGACAGCCTCCTCTTCCTCCTGCAGAGCAGTGGGTGGGTCCACTTGAGGTTGGCAGTCCAACAGCGTCATCGGGGCTCCAAGCCTCTATGGGCATGTTCTATCAACTTGCTGATCACAGACGAGGATCAATCCTGTCAAGAAGCACAGGAAAAATAGATGAGTCATTTTCCCCCAAGAAATGTACAATTTAGTTGGAAAATCGGGGTGTGGAAATGCAACAAGCTGCAAAAGGCCGAGAAGCCATACACAGTAATACTTCCAAATCCAGAAGTCAGCTATCAACAGCCTGTTTACGTCTCTGGCTTTCCCTCTTCTCTCCCTTGCTTCCCTGCCTCTGTCTGTGTGTCCTTGGCTCTAGCCATGTCGACTCCTCACCATGGTTAGTGTCCCTCCCTCTATTTCTCTCTTTCCCCTCTACCTTTGTTCCAGACCATCTCATGTCTTGTCCCTCAGCGTGGCATCCCCCTCTCATGCACACCTCTGCTCTGCCCGCTAATTCTTATTCCTCCTTCGCGTCTCCCCTGGAAAGTTACATGTTCTGCAGAACTGTCCACATCTCCTTCCTAAGTCACATTAAGTCCCTCGAGTGTGCAAAGCAACAACAACAAAGCTCCCCTATTGTAACATTCACTCTTCTCTGTAATTTGTGATTTTATGAACTTCTTTCTGTACTAGATTGTAAGCCCCGTGAGGGGAGGGAGTCTCTTTTAGTGCCTGGCACATAATTCTGCTTAAGAAATATTTGCAGAAAGAAAAGAATCAAAACACAAAGAACTTGGAAATAAGAGGAAGTAAAAGTAGCTTCCAAGAGTTCACTGAGAAATTGAGTGAAAAGATAATGGAATTTTTCCATGAATGTTTTGAAGCCCCCTGGTAGCAGCACTAAAACAATTAATTACTTGTCATAGCATTCTTTTATTTCATTAATGGGAGAAGCCTTGTTTTTTTTCTTTTTTCTTAGTCTCTGCCCATTTCTACTAATCTAGCATATAATTAACAACAAATCCAAAGAGGAAAAGGGTGCTTTTAGGAACAAGAACATTGATCACTATGAGAACTTAATGGAAGGGAGGCCCAGGGAAATAAAAACCAAAGTGGACAATTGAACGTTCCGGCCTTCTTGGCTCTGTCAAGGAAGAGCAAACAGTGTTCAGTACAGGCAGTCTAGGCATTGGACAATTGAGTTCACAAAGGAAAAGCATGAATGATGGTCTCTTCCATATGCAAAACACTTTAAAAATGTACAAAGCATTGTCACGATGCTACAGACCGTCTCTGACTTACAATAGGATTCAGAATCCCATTTTGACAACTCCATAGAAAAATCTTAAGCCGGATGTCTCTTTTTTGTTTGTTTGTTTCAGTTTGCATTATTATTACCTGTCATTATTGTTATCTTTGTAAACCACAAAATCGAACATCAATGAATTAACCTCTGAGAATGATGACACCAGCAAATTATGTACTGCAAGATTGTATGTCGTACATATTACTTACTAATGGTCAACCAAAGCCAGCCTCGCTGCCATCATCAGTTCTGACCCTCTAGGACAGAGTAGAACTGCCCCTGTGGGCTTCCGAGATAGAGATAGTAACTCTTTTATAAAAAAGTCTCATCTTTCTCCCCCAGAGCAGCTGTTAGTGTTGAATTGCTGGTCTTGTGGTTAGCAGCTCAATGAGTAACTACTTAGCCACCGGGGCTCCTTATTACTCCTGGTAAGATGGACAAAAAATGATCCTAAGTGCAGTTCCTAGAAAGCAGAATGTGTCCGAAGGCTGGGACTGCCTGTATTCTATTTGCCACTGAGAGGTAGGAAGCAAGGTCATATGTCCACTGGCAAGTGCCAGATTCAGCCTTAGAGATAAGTGGTTCATCCAAAGCCATCCTCTAGACAGGAAGCTAGGTCTTAATGACTCCAAGTTGTGCTCTTTCCACTACAGGGCACAGGAAGTTAATGCCTTTTGGAAGAATCTGTTTGAAACAGGCAGAAAGTAATGTTTTGCACCTAACTGGATAAACTAGTGTTCTCGGGGAGGGGGGGGAGTTATTCAGAAAAGAATATTCCTATGGGTTCTGATCCTCATGGTTAGATCTATATTCTCATATCAGTTCAGAGAGAGAAAGTTTTGTGTAATTCATAACAGTCAAGCAAGACTTCATTCTGATATAGCTTTTAATATTTGGTGCATTTATTCCTCTACAACTAAGTGCTCTTATTTCTTGCCCTTTAGAACTAAGTGCTGGGGATATAAAAGGTAAAAGACAGGTTTCATTTCTTTAGACCAAGTGGTAAATAACTGTGAAAAA